TCTGCACAATTCAGGGCGTGTTGGAACACATAAGAGTTTGATATTGATGATGACTTGACTGTTTGTTGATTGAATAGCTTGTAACAACATGCGGAGTGCATAAAAATGCAGAAAACCCTGAGTTCTGCTTCACAATGTGTTTAACGGAACAATCAACTTTCGCAGTTCTTTTCACAGAGAAACCCTTGATTCCATGAGCATGGACCCTATGACATGTATGTATGCATATGATAATGAAATATAAACCAGTTAGGGTTAAAATAAAGAGGACATATTTTAGGGTACAACAGTATGTATCTTCTCTTAAGAAAATTACCAATTTGAAAGAAAATAGTAATTTATATCAGTTTGGAATCTTCGTGTGTATGTATATTTCTTAAGGGAATTGGAGATAGAAAGTATTAAGTAGTAAACTAGTAATTCATGTCAGTTTGGATCACTTTGTGTGCATGTATGTTTTCTTAAGGATATTGGAGAAAGAAAGTAGTAATTTATTGTGTTAATTTTGACATTGTGTGTATGAATGTTTTCTTGGTATTATCTTTTAATAATTTATTGTAGGAACACAATTTCATAACCGAACTACTAATAGATCGGTTGCTGGTGAATAATGCAGAGTTGATCATCAGCGAATACAGTTGACATATTGAGATATTATAGATTTTTTTTTACTGTGCCTCTTAAGATGCCTTCTAAGACTCGAAAGTATGTGGAAATGATAAGCGTAAAAAAAAAATTGGAGAGCTCAAATGAAAGTCACTATGTTGATAATATTGATGTTGAAGTTCTTGATAGTGTGTCAATTGAAAATGATATTGTTGATTGTGTGCAAATTGAAGATGATAATATTGATAGTGTGTCTATTGAAAATAATAATATTGATAGTGTGTCTATTGGTGATGAAGTTAATAATAATGATGATAATGTTGATTATGATATATTTAATCTAAGAAATTGGGACCGTCTTCAACCTAGTTGATTGATTTATTAGTTGTGAAAGGTCCTAAAATAGATAATTCCATTGTATAGGGTCCTAGAGATAATTTGAATAGACGCTTTATGACTAATTTGTATACTAGAATTTTAGCAAATGGAGAGAAGTGTGATAGAGATTGGCTAGTTTATTCGAAATAGCTTGATAGAGTATTTTATTTTTGTTATAAAGTTTTGAAAAATGGGATTGGTAGAGGACAATTAGCAAATGGGGATTATAGTGATTGGTGACATGTTGGTGCAAGAATTAAATAACATGAGTTAGGCATGGAACATGTTAAGAATATGAATATTTAGTATGAGTATCTTCAAAGGCGCAAAAATTTTAAGCTATTGATAAAACGACTCAAAGATTAATTGATAAAGAAAAGAATCACTGGAAAATGTTTTTAAAAGAGTTATTTCAATAGTGAAATTTCTTACTAAACATAATTTGGAATTCTGTGGTTCTAAAGAGAAATTGTATGAAGATATCAATGGCAACTTTTTGGGTTTGATTGAAATGTTGGCTGAATTTGACCCAATTATCCAAGAACATGTTAGACGTGTTACAACTCAAAAAGTTTACTAGTCATTATCTTGGATATAGAATACACAGTGAATTGATTTCATTGCTAGGTTATGCAATTAAAACTGAAATCATTAGTAAAATCAAACAAGCAAAGTATTTCTCAATAATACTTGATTGTATGTCTGATGTCAGTCTCCGAGAGCAAATGTCTTTGATGATAAGATATGTGGATGTTTCTTCAACCTCTGTTAGCATTGAGGAATCATTTTTATGATTTTTAATGGGAATGATACAACTTGTCAAGGACTTTTTGATGTTTTATAAAATGAATTGAAAGAACTTGGTTTTGACCTATTTGATGTGAAAGGACAAGGTTACGATAATAGGTCAAATATGAAAGGAAAACATCAAGGTGTACAAAAGAGATTTTTAGACATAAATTTGAGATACTTCTATACTTTTTGTGGTTGTCATAGTCTTAATTTGACATTGTATGATATGGCTAACTCTTGTAAAAAAGTTAGAAATTTTTTGGGAGTTGTATAACGAATCTATACAATTTTTGCCAATTCATATAAGAGATGGCAAATTTTTAAAGATAATATGAAAGGGTTGACTCCAAAATTATTGTCATCCACTCGCTGGGAGAGTCGAGTAGAAAGTGTCAAAGCTATAATAACTCAAATGTCTGATTTTACAGAAGCTTTACTTGAAGTGTCTGAAAATGATCTCGATCCTAAAATACAAAATGAAGCCACTTAACAACAAATAAGCTTGGTGATTTTGAGTTTTTAATGGCTATAATTATTTAGTTTGAAATATTATCTGCAATTAATTATGTTAGTAATCTTTTACGGGAAAATGATATGTTTATTGATGTTGCTATGAAAAAAATAATGAGATTGATTTTAGTTTTTGAGAGATATAGAAAAACATGTTTTTATAAGACAATAAAAAATTAACATTAAAAACATGATTTTTTTATTTTTTAAAGGAATTGATTTTAATTTTTTAATTTTGATTATGTGAATTTTGAGGGATTGATTTTAGTTTTTGACTTTAGAGACGAATATCGAAAAAAAATTAACATTAAAAAATTATTTTTTTTAAAAATAATACCTAGACGATAATTAAAAACTTTTTAATTTACATGGATGATTTAACTATTTAATTTAAAAATTAAATGATTTTCCTGCCTCGTTGATTTCTTTTCCTAAAATAGAACATTATACTTAAGGTAATCTGTAAGATTCTATTTACAAATATTTTTGTTCTAAAGAAAGTAATATTAAATTCATAACACAAATAAATATTTAATCTATACAATTTTTGAAGTCCAAACAAGTCAATAGATATACGCATGCATTTGATGATTTTTTTTGAAAATGTCTTTGAATTGAATTCGTTGAAGTTCAAATTTTATAGCAAACAAGTTAACTAAAAAATATTTTAAGGTTTATCGGTTGAGAAAATAAATAACATAATAATAAAATGATGGAAATTTAAAGAGAACGGAAGTAAAATCTTCGTAGCGAATTAAAAAGTGTGAGAAAAGTAAATAATTTGAAATGTAAAATGCCAGAAAGTAAAGGAATTGAAAAAAAAAATATTTTAAAAAATAAATTTGTTGAAAAAGTAAAGTTCTTTAAATTGCAAGAAATGTAAAAGAATTATAAAATCGATGGAAGCCATATTTAAGGTTTTGAACAATGTTTTAAAACTGAATTGGAAAAAAATCATTAAAATAATTGAATTAAATTTCAATCAATTTAACGGGTCTGTAATTGAACTGTATATTAAATTTAAACTAAGAAAATAATTAAATATCTTAATAAAATTAATTTATAAAAAAATTCTCAAATAAATACGATATCAATAAATAAATTTACAAAAAAAATGTAATATAAGGTCTAATTTATATATTTGTACTAATTACTTAACTCAGTCACAACAAATTCTTCTTCATGATTTTTCACATCTCTTCGAGATCAACATCAGTTATTCCATGTCCACAAACATTACATTATTTTTTCTCTTTTTATTTGCATTTACATTGTCTCATTCTTCCAATTTTATTCTTTAGTTTTCATCTATATAATTTTAAATATTTATTATAATTAATCTTTAGATTTAAAGAAAGAAATAAAATGATGTAAAACATATAAAAAGTTTATCTTTGATTTTTTAAACCGTCTGATTCATCAAAAGTCGGTCCCAATTTTACAGTTATTTTAGTTTTTCGCAATTGAAACAATTATATCCTAATTTTATAGACTTAACTGTTAATTGATTCAAACCGAACCAAATTAGATAATAATTCAAGATTAAACCAGTTCAATCCAGATTTTAAAACATTAATATTAATTTTGAATCTATTTCTTGTTCGGAGTAAGCTTTAAAAGGATTAAATATATTTTTGATCTTTATAAATATCTCAAATTTCATTTTTAATTCCTATTAAAAAAATGATAAATTTTAGTCTTGAAAAAAATTTTGTTCATCCAATTTTAGTCTCTTATTATTTTCTAAAATTTTAAAAACTGTTTAATTATCTTTAAACTTTTAAATTTTTTAATAATATTTTCATTACGTGTTTAGAATACCATAAAATGTTTCTTTATCAAAATTTAGAATTTTTTAAAATGAGAAGAATTAAATATAATTTTTTTAAATTTCAAAAGATATTGATAAAAATAATGAAAATCTCAATTTAAAAATCAAATTTTGAATTTCTTTTTTTCCAAAGAACTTTTTACAACGTTCTAAACATGTCTGCAAAATAATCATTTAAAAATACACATTAATTTAATAACAGGGACTAAAACTACATACATAATAATTTTGTAAGGACTAAAAATTATTATTATTTTAATAATGATTAAACATGAAATATGAGATATTTATAAAGATGAAAAATATATTTAACCCGCTTTAAAATTTAAATATTCAACTCTTTTTTGTGAAATTTCTTATTTATAGTCATAGAGAAATGTATCTAAGTAACTCCCTCTTGAGAGTTACTATTGCAGCAATTACTTTGGTGAGTTATACTCAATAGTTTGTGTGCTATAAGTCAACATGTGCTTCAAAATTGTTCTTTGTAGTCTATGAGAAACACATATATTCAAGACTTTACATCGAAGACATATTATCCTAAATCACTTTAAAAAAACACATTGAACTACACACTCTAATCACCACCAAAAATAAGTATAATCTTGAGTCATTATTTTAAACTCATATATTATTTATATTTTTTCTCCATTTAATTAAACTAATTTAATCTAAAATTAACTAATATTTTTCTCTCAAAAATAAAGAATAAACTTAAACTCTGAACACTATTTCATTTCACGTGCAAAGCACTGTCCAAAGTTGTGTCTTCACTCGAACTCAAAACCCCTTTTTATAACCTCAAAATCACTCCTAAACAAACAAGACTCAACTTACCTTTCTCTATCATCATCATCATCTTCTTCTTCTTCTTCGACTCTTCATGTGTTTGCCCGAGGAAGAGAGAGAAAACCATGTCGTCACTAGAACCAACTCTACTATACCCACCACCACCACCACAACAACAAGACCCTTTTACCTACGGATTCAAAGAACTCTTCAACTACAACTTATTAACAGATTCTGAACCTAACTTCGACTACAACAACTTCAACCTTCAAAATGAACAACAACATGGTTTTCTCAACAACAATTGTTCACCACAAATTGAGGAACTTAATGTGGTCTCAAATCCATCTTTAGATACCTCAATTCCCACTCGTTCTCGCTCCAAGAAACGCAGAGTCAAAACAAGTAAGAACGAGGAAGAAATTGAGAACCAAAGAATGACTCACATTGCTGTAGAACGTAACAGAAGAAAACAAATGAATCACTATCTTTCTATTCTAAGATCTCTCATGCCTCAATCTTACGTCCAAAGGGTACTTTTACATTACTTTTTCTTTTTCTTCTAAATAATAATATCTCATGACCCATGTCTGGTGTCTGTGTCTGTGTCTGATCGAAAACATGTCTGGTGTCTGACACATATTATTGTTGTGTTTTAATTGATGAATTTTGCAGGTTGATCAAGCATCTATAATTGGAGGGGCTATTAACTTTGTGAAGAATCTTGAACAAAGGCTACAATTTCTTGGGGTTGAGAAAGAAAAAGAGGGTAAATTTGATACTATTGATGCAAATAAAAGCAAACCCTTTTCTGAATTTTTCACCTTTCCACAATACTCAACAAGTGTTTGTGAGAATGCTTCTGAGACAAAAATGGGTGGTGAAGTTCATCAATCTAGCAATACTATTGCTGACATAGAAGTGACAATGGTTGAAAGCCATGCAAATATCAAAATAAGATCAAAGAAAAGACCAAAACAACTCTTGAAAATGGTTTCTAGTTTGCATGGAATGTGTCTCACAATCTTGCATCTTAATGTCACTACAACTCATGAGTTTCTCTTCTATTCTCTCAGTGTTAAGGTAATTGTCTGTGCTCCCTTTCTTGGTTTTTTTTTAAGCTTTTTCTACAAGTGCTTTTCTTTTTAAGTTATTCTTCATGTAAAAGCACTTTTGTTGTAGGTGGAAGATGATTGCAAGTTTGGATCAGTGGATGAGATAGCTTCAGCTGTATACAAAATGTTGGAAAGGATTCAACAAGAGTCAATATTGAATTAAGATCTAAACTTTTAACTTTTTTTTAATCTTAAGATCTCTTGATGATGGTGAAAATTATTTTTTTCTTGTTAATTTCCTTTTTCAAGATGAATCTAATTATTGAAAAGCTGTTTAATCTTTTTTAATATAATAATCTTACAAATGTCTTTGAGAGAGTCAAATTTAGTTGTAAGATGTGAGGATTTCTTTAATAAGTAATATTGAACTATCAATAATTACTATTTAAGTTGTGGGTTTTTCATGACTCTAATAAACGCTTCAGGCTCAAACCAACTCATTTAAATTTTTTGTAATTACAAAAAAAAAACTATCTTTGAAGAAATTTGAATTTTGTGTTACAAAAGTTAAATTTTTATTGTTTAAGAAAAATCTTATAGAAAAAGTGACAATAACTTAAAATAAAGTGACAATTTAAATTTACTGTATATGTAGTAAAAATTGTATGTGATGTGAAAAACTTTCTAATTTACATGTTATGAATGAACGGAAATTTAATGTTGAACCTTAGTATGATCTGTTGATTTGGTTTGAGAATAGGGAAGATACTTGAAAATAACTCAATGTTAAATTAGTGACGATCTTAAATGTGTGATTTTTTAACTAAAGTTATGTGTACTTAAGATTGTCTTGTCTTTTATCTTTCATAGTATATCATTAGCAATGTTTTAAAAATTAGGCTGGAGATCGAATTGATGAAATTTTCGATTTAATGTTTAATTAGTTTAACGGACGTATATGTAAATTGATTATTAAATAAATTAATAATATGAAATTAAATTTTATAGATATGTCACACATAATCATATGTTTACAACTTAATAACATAAATATTTTTAAAATTCATTACAAACTTAATACAACGATATCGACATTATATATAATAACACAATATAATTATATACTTTATTTAATAATAATAAAACATAATAAAAATCCAAAATTAAAATAACAAAACATAATAACTGATCGTACTTGATCAGAATGGACCGTCACAACTTATTTCGAGCAGAACTTGAGAGTGAGGTTGGGGGGTACCTGCAAGACACTCTGATGCCAAAATGAGATACAGAACGAGCTAGCAAGCAAGAGAGTAAGAAATGATCAATACATGGCCCTCTAGAAAGAGAGGGTATTTATAGCCCTCAGCGCTGGGCCAAGGTCTCCTCATTGGACTGGTCAAACAGGCTCAAAGTGGAGACTGTCAGGTTCTATGTGAGTAGTGGGGACCCGCACGTGGTCCCCCGCCTGGATGACTTCCTCCGCAAGATTAGAAGGATATGGATGCAGTCTTTTAGGAGCCACGAAGACTCCGCGATATTCGGAGACGTTGACAGTCAGCCCTACGAGGAGGATGCTTGTGAGGCGCTTCTGCTCGTCGTGGATGCTCCCTGCCAGACGCGAGGTCGTGTGAGGGGATCAGTCTTGGTCGGGGAGAGGACCAGAGGATGACCTCGAGGTCCTTCTGACTGGCAATGATCTTCCTAAGACTGACTGGGTTTATCCTCCTGCGATGAGGTTGCCTCCTTGCGGGGAGTGGGAGTTGCTGCCCGGCGTTCTCGAGGACAGAACTGGTTAGTATACTTTGACCGGTATAATTGGATTGGGCCTCTCATGGATTTGGGCCAAGGGCAGGTCTAGTCCAGAACAAGAGCCCCCCAAGTCGTTGCTCCTGATGAAGGAGTTATGACTTAAGTCCAACTTTTTCTTTTATGAGGTGTGTTGCTCGACGAGGATATTTCATTGTGTTGACGGAGAAAGTCGTCGGTTCATGGGTTTACCCGAGCAACATTCAGAATAGACTCGAGATGGGACCATTCTAGCCGCGGGGAGGGGAAACCCTGCGGGGTGTAGGCACGTGGCGTGACCTTTGGGATTATAATGATGGCATATGGAGTATGGGTCATCATTAGCTGAACGTGTAGGTGTCAGGGAGAAAGGCGGTTGTTGAGCTGCCTGACACGAAGTTTCGCATTCTACGTCAGCTCTATATATAGTGCCTCAAGGCCCATTATTATGTTTACATTCTCGCGCTATCCACTCTCCCTATCGCCAACGTCGTGCCGTTTCCTTTCGCCGCCACATAATCCGCCGCACGTTCTTCTTCAACCTTTGTTGTTCTTCATCTGCTTTGTCCAAGTAAGTACTTTTTCGTGATACTCTTTGTTTTGATGATGTTTTAGTTGTAGAATTTCACGACTGGGGGTTTTACTCGGGGAATTCATGTATTTATGCGTAATTTTCGTGATTGAACCCGTGATATTCATCGTTTCCCCGACACTTAGATGAGTATACCCTGTAGTCTTCATATATCCCTGCAAAATTCATGGATTTTACGCAATAAGTTTGTGTTTTCCCCGGTGAATTCATGAGTCTGGCCGATAAATTCGTACTTTGCTCGCTGTATTCTTCCTGTGCTCGGGGTATTCATGAAAATGAGAGTTCGTCGTTGTTGTACCCCAAAATTTTCCCTCCCATATTCTCCAAGATTTGCTAAGAGCATGCTTCAAAATCTCCCAAAGGTTGCACAGTCCAATTACCTCCTAACAGTCAAAATTAGGGTTTTGGTTCTGGCAAAGAAATTGAAGTTTCCAAGGATCCAAACAAGTCCCACATGCCTATGAACATTGTCAAGCATCCTCATGCCAAGTTTCAAGACTCACAGCACAAAATTGCACAGTCAAAAAACCTAATTGCTCAACAGTCAACTGCAGGAGCAAAATGGTCATTTGACAGTCAAAAGTCCAAAATTTTTGGTCAACATCTTATTTTGAAGCCATAAACATCATTTGATCAATTCTTGATCATGATTCTCAAAGCATGGCTCAAAAAGTCTCAAGATGCAAAAGTTTCTATTTTTAGACAGTTGGAAAAGTCAACTGCAAATTGACCAAGGCATAACTTCCACATGGATTATCAGAAAAATTCCATCCAAAGCTCATTTTTAAGATAATGACATTTCCTACAACTCCTCTTCATACTTCAAGTCCAAGAAATGCTCTCACAAAAAGTTATCAATCTCAACATTATAGGTCATTTTCAAAAGTCAACAAAAAGGCACTTTAAGTCAAAGACCATAACTTGATATTGGTAAATCAAAATGACATGGGACCAAAGGCATTGGTTAAGGACTTCAAGACCTTTCCAAAATGTCCAAGAACATGATCAAAGCTTAAAAATTGAGCAAGATATGCCTTGTGGAAGTTGGGAAATATTTGGGAATTTTGAAAAGTCAACTTTGCTTCAAATGCCTCAAAATTGCTAATGGGCCTTAATTTCTTCCAAGAATCATCACCCAAAAGCTATGCACGACCCATTGACCCAAAGGGGAGTTATTTTCTTATTTTTAATTTATTAATTGAATTTTTAAATCCATTAATTCATTTAATTAAAATTAAATATGAGAAAAATACTAAACAAATGTTTTTGGATCTTTTTATGCAGCATATGCCATCATTATTCACTCAATATTTCGTGCACACTCAAAAAGGCAAGAATCTCCATTGATTGGCATCAAAAAGATATGAAAAAGATTGAAAAAGATTACATTGAAAACCAAATATTTGAATCATGAATGCAAAGGTTTGGGCTTGGTTTCTTTGACCTAAATCATTCCATGTACATATGCAAACCTAAACCTAATCACAAGGACAAGCACGCTGCGCTGAAAACCTGAAAACAAACTTGCATTTTTTCTTAAGAAACTCAAAACTGAAAACATAGTTCCAGTGTGTTTCAAAGCCTCAAAACCATCCCAATTCATTCCTGACGCCTCAAGGGAGCTTTTCCAATCAAAATCACAACCCCTAACCTCAAGAACTGGTAACACGAAGTCTCCCTGTTCATGAACATTTGCATATTCGTATTTTGGTTTGCACGCATTTTCCATACATTCTAATGATTGTTTTACACTAATATGGACTCACTGAAGCTTATGGTACCATTGAATTGAACTAATCTTGCTTGTATAGAAAATTGCCATGGATATTTTTTAGGGTTTCAGGAACCTTGAATTGGGGTTTTACGCTTGAGGAAAAATTAAGCCATGAAACTAGGACCATGGAATTCGTGACATTCCAACAAATCCAAAACACTCATCGCGCCCAATTTATCATTGCCCAGGAGCTATTCGCTATTTTTGCATATTGTGGTTAGTGGGGGTTTAAACCCCCGCTATTTGGTTTCTTTTACAGGTAGAAAGAAGAAGATGATGCAGGCGTGGCAGAACGTGAGTGGAGTATTTGAATCTGGCGCGGTTTTTTTTATGTTTTATATCATTAGTTTTATGTTCTCCTTATAATCTTTGTGTTCCATTATGTTATCAAAACGCGCAAACAGCACAATTGGCAAGGCGTTAGCATGGTAAACGTTGGGACCTGGGTTCGATTCCCAGGTCCCCCCACTTCTTCATAATATTTTTTTTTAAAATGCTTATGTGCAGCGTACTCTCAAAGGTTCACCATATGCCTTCGCCTACTTGCCTGCCACATGTCCAACAACACTAATCCAAGGGCCAGAATGGGAAGACTACCCTAGACGCTAGTCAACCATGCTGCACGTGACCACTGAAGAGTCAAAAAAGGCCCCATTCAATGGGCCTAATTGCTGCAAATATACCTCCAAATGGGTCAGAAAACCCCCCATGTTTGCCTTTTCTTTCTCTATTTTTATTCTTTTCTTTTTATGTTAATTATATTATTTGTTTCATTTAATTCCACAAAATTAGTTTTATAATATAAAAATACAAAAAAAATCAGAAACCATAAAAAATAAAAATATGTTTATTTATTTTTTAATTCATCAATATTTTGTAAATAAAATTCTAATAACCAATTAGTTTTAATTTTAGTTTTAACTTTGACATTTTTCTTAAATAAATTAAAAACACAAAAATTAGGTTTTAGCATTTCATTCCTTTTTTTCTAATAAATATTCTTTTCTTATTATAATTATTATTAACCATTAATTATTTTTGTAAATACTTGTAATTAATTGATTAGGTT